AATTTCCATAAAGCCCCAGTTGCTGAAATCATGACATTGCATGAGAATCTCAGCTTTCATTTAAAAAAAAAAAAAGGTTTCTGGCCCTCGTAGTTGCAGAGAGAGGCTTGAAAACATAAAGCAAGTGCACCCATAAAGACTCAGAAAGTCAGAAGGAACCAACATTTATTTTATTTATTTATTTTAATCTCATGATTTTTAAGCCAGTCTAATTATTTTTGGGGGATGGACTCAATTTTTTGACCCCTTGGGTGGACAATACTGAGACTATTGTGCTTTTTTTCTAACGTGTGTGTGTGTTTTTTTATTGTAGCCTTTTAAATTAGGAACATTAAATTTATTTACAAAGGTGGTTCAAGGGATTGTTAAAGGGATACAGAGTCTTTCATCTCTACAGCATGAAACCAATTCATTTCAAATTAGATTGACAGTGACTGAAAATCATTAGCTTGCTGATGTTTGCTCAGTCAGCTATGTGAAATACCTTCTTGGTTCAGATCCAAGACAATTGTCACAACTGATACCAATGGACAGTCCCAATATTATGGCCGAAAACCAAATGGACATTAGAACTAGAATATCCTTCCCACCTCCTGAGATGATCCCAACAACAAGCCTACGGTGCATTGCAAGCTTTCCATGTGGAAAGAACACTTGAGCCATTAGGGTTGTCTTTCAGCAACATTAAATTCACTTAAATAAAGAAGGTGGGAGGGGGGAGAGTTCAGAGAAAGAGAGAGTGAGTGAAATAACTGTGAAACATTGCTGGGAAAGGGGAAAAAAGCCTTACCTGGCTTCTGTCCAGCAAAATGCATGCTGGGATGTCACCTGAAGCCATAGTCAGTGATTCTCTGTGGGTCTGGATTTTACGGGCATAAAAACGTTTAAGCTTAATTTTAAGATGATGATGTGTTGACTACTTCTTTTGATTATTAGGAGCCCTCATATTTACTTGCAGGTTACCTCAGAGATATCCATTAAGTTCATAACAGTATATCATAGTCTAATGCATGGTTTTATGTAAATATATGTACAAAAGGAAAATGTCTTTTTTTATAACTCAGCTCTCTCCCTCCCCCTGATCCTACCCATGAAATATTTATAAAACATTTTGTCAAAGCTAAGCAAGTCCAAACCTGTGAAATTTAGGGGCTAGATTTTCAAGAGTGCTCAGCTCCCAGTTAAAAGTGGTCAGATTTTCAGGAGAGTGCAGCTAGTCATGAAAATATTGCTTAGAGAATGAAAATGTACTGTACAGCTGGTTGGCAAATATGCATGTAGGAAGAACTCCCTGAAATTATAGATTTGTTAATACATCCACTGTCTGCCTAGAGACTACAGGTGTGTCACAAATGGTCATACAATCAAATATTGCGAGTTAATGTTTAAACTCTACATTTACTAAAGCATTTGTTACCAGTTTGCAGAAGACATCAAACAACCAAGAATCATAACCTTGGCTACTAATTAAAATCCTTATTCCTTTCTTTAACTCCAAAAACATTTAATCTCTGGGAAGTAGGAGAGCCTTGTATGCAGGGACTTTTTTTTCAGTGTTAGCAAAACAACAAGTGTTATGTGGGAGTTTCTAAAGGGGTTGTGGTGTAGAAGAATAAAAGAAATGTGTCAATTTTCTGTTTTCCTTTCAGAGAAGTAAACATTAGCATTAAACAAAGAGTGATTAAAAACAGATGCGTTGGAAAACCTTATGTGGTGGGATGGAGAAGGGGTTATGAAAACGAGAGGCAATTTTTACCAGGTTAAAAACTAGCATTTTTCTGGGGAAGGCTATTTTAACTGATAAATTGAACAGTAATCCATCACCAGAACCAGATGGTATTCACCCAAGAGTTCTGAAGGAACTCAGATATGAAATTGCAGAACTACTAACTGTGCTATGCAACCTGTCGCTTAATTCTGCCTCTGTACCAGATGACCTGAGGGTAACTAATATAACAGCTATTTTTTTAAAAGTCTCCAGAGACAATCCTGGCAATTACAGGCCAGTAAGCCTAACTTCAGTACCAGGCAAATTGGTTGAAAATATAGTAAAGAACACAGTTATCAGACTCATAAATAAACACAGTAAGTTGGGGAAGAATCAACACTACTTTTGTAAAGGGAAATCATGCTTCGCCTATCTATTAGAATTCTTTGAGGGGGCCAACAAATGTGGACAATGGTGATCAATTTATTATAGTGTACTTGGACTTTAAGAAAGCCTTTGACAAGGTCCCTCACCAAAGACTCCTAAGCAAAATAAGAAGGCATGGGATAAGAGGAAAGGTCCTCTCATGGATCAGTAACTGGTTAAAAGACAGGAAACAAAGGGTAGGAATAGATGGTCAGTTTTCACAATGGAGAGAGAGGTAAATAGCAGAGCCCCCCAAGGATCTGTACTGGGTCCAGTGCAGTTGAACATAGTCATCAATAGTTTGGTAAAGGGGGTGAAGTGTGAGGTGGCAAAATTTTCAGATGATCCAAAATTACTTAAGATAGTTAAGTCCAAAACAGACGGCAAAGAGATACAAAGGGATCTCACTAAACTGGGTGACTGGGCAACAAAATGGCAGATAAAATTCAATGTTGTTAAGTGCAAAATAAAGCACATTGGAAAACATAATCACAATTATACATACAAAATGATGGGGTCAAAATTAGCTGTTACCACTTGAGAGATCTTGGAGTCATTGTGGATAGTTTCCCTGAAAACATCTGTTCAATATACAACCATAGTCAAAAAACCTAACAGAATATTAGGAAGCATTAGGAAAGTGGTAAATAATAAGACAGAAAATATCATAATGCCACTATATAAATCCATAGTGCAACCACACCTTGAACACTGTGTGTAGTTCTGGTTGCCCTACCTCAAAAAACATATATATGAATTGGAAAAGGTGCAGAGTAAGGCAACAAAAATTATTAGGTATAGAAAAGCTTCCATGTGAGGATAGATCAAAAAGACGGAGACTGTTCTGCTTAGAAAAGAGATGAGTAGGGGGACTATGACAGAAGTCTATAAAACTATGAATGGTGTGGAGAAAGTGAATAGGGAAGTGTTATTCACCCCTTCACACAAGATCGAGAGGTCACCCAATGAAATTAATAGGCAGCATATTTAAAACAAACACAAGGAAGTACTTCACACAGTGCATTGTCAACCTGTGGAACTCATTGCCATGGGATGTTGTGACAGCCAGAAATATAACTGGGTTCAAAAAAGAATTAGATAATTCCCTGGAGGATAGATCCATCAAAAGCTATTAGCCAAGATGGTCAGGACGCAACCCTGTGCTTCGGGTGTCCGTAAACCTCCAACTGCCAGAAGCATCTGGAACTGGCCCACTGTCAGAGACAGGATACTTGGCTAGATGGACCATTGGTCTGACTTAGTATGGCCATTCTGTATGAAAATGGTTGGTTTTCCAGATAGGAAGAGGAGCAAATTTGTGAACATTTGCAATACACCTCTTCCTCGATATAACGCTGTCCTTGGGAGCCAAAAAATCTTACCGCGTTATAGGTGAAACCGCATTATATTGAACTTGCTTTGATCCACCGGAGTGTCCGGCCCTTCCCCCCCCCCCCCCGGAGCACTGCTTTACTGCGTTATATCCTGTTATATCGGGTCGTGTTATATCGAGATAGCGTTGTATTGCCCAGAAGGTGGAATTTCACCAATTACACCGTGGAAAAACTGTTTGCTGGAGGAAATGTGTGGCTACTCGGGGAGAAAATCAGATTATGTGTAGGGCTTATCATACTGCTGAACTGTGTTCTGCAAGAGACCTAAACATGTAAAGGACCTTTGTTGTGAGTGATTCCCATCCCAGGGAGGGTACGAAGACTGTCAGCTCAATACAAACAGAACGCACTATTTAGCAGCAAATGAAGTCTTCATGTGTGTAAATATGGCTTTATAAACAACTATTACTGATAATAAATTACAAAGAAAATACATTTGGAAAATCTAAGTAAGGTTAGCACTGCTCTACTGCTTGTGCCCTTTAGTAGTTAGTAGAAGCATTGAATGCTTCTGGAATAAAAGTCAAAGTAGCCCAGTTTAAAATGATGCATTTATCATTGGGTAAGAACTTTTGTATATTAAATTCACTCAAATGTGTGTCTATAAACTAAGTGTTTTTCATTTGTTATAGCTGAAGAATGACAATTAAGAATAAATCGTTTGAATAAATCATACACATATTATCTGATTATAATGTTAAGAAAATATATTTATCACATTTAAAATTTTAAAATATAATTAAAAGTATAAAGAAAAACCTGTCATATTTTTATTATCTATTTTAAATAAAGTATATTGTTTAATGCTATGTGTTTGTGAAAAGCAAAAGCTTTATGGTAATCAGTTATTATAAAGTACTTAGCATTTCTCGATTCTTTTTGTAGTTTATAGGGGACTTTTTTTTTTTTATCTTCCATATGTTACTTATTGTTAATGTTTCATATACTGCTATAGTACCATTCATGCATTTGACCACTCAACGATATTTTACAGTGATGGTTTTCCTAAAAGAACAAATTAGTGCAAGTGAAGGAATACTTGCAAAAGATCTGGAAAGAAAAAGCTATACTATAGGCTACAATACTAGGGTGCTTGTATATAAAAAAGAAACCTGAGAGCTAAAGTTCTAAATGCTCATGTCTGGGGCTTTTGAGAGAAAGAGAAAGCAGGAGAGATGGGAGGGAGCTCACCTGACACAGGGAGAGATGAATATGGTCACCACTTAACTAGGGTACATTACATTACATCGTAGCATAAACTGTAGAGATAAAATTCCAGATTTTAAAAGCTTTTTTTTTTTTTTTTGGTATGTGTGGTCCCAATAATGGTGTGTTGTGTCCACAGAAGGAATTGTTGCTTCTTGCATAAACATTCACTTGTCACTGAAGCACTTAATGAAGGTTATTATCCTGATGATATGGCTGGAGATGATCTCTTTCATCCAACTCACTTGTCTCATTTTTTTCTACAGGCTGCGAGAACACCACCGTGCTGCCATTAAGGTGATACGACGGATGCAGTACTTTGTGGCAAAGAAAAAATTTCAGGTAAGTTTTGAACAGAGGGCTAGTTTTCTAAATAAGCCCTTTTATACTCCTGGCTTATTGTTTCTTTTATAAATGTAAGAAAAAGAGACTAGCACAATTCATATCAGTAATGGTGAGTCACACCCACTATTCTCTCCCTCCTTGAATAGGGTGGTTGTTTAGCAGCAGGTTAGTCCACTGTGGACACACTGGGAATAGGCTAAGCTGCTGAAATGCAGCCTGAATTAAAATGTTGTTTTCTGCTAATGGACTTGACCTTTCACCTGCTGTTATCTCCATCTCTTTCTTGCAATGCAAACATTCTCATATGTCTTCATTAATTCTGAGTTGTATGTTACTGTCATGCTGACTCAGTAGGCTTAGAGATTAAAATACTACTTTAACCTTGTTTTCTATCTCATAAACAATGTTAATGAAGTTCTGATAAGGGGCAGGGATGGAAATTTGTTAGCATACTGCAAGGTTTCTGCTTTGTTACTCTTGCCCCTCCTATAGAGGTAAGAAACCCCCTTCGAAGTTCATGAGATAATCAGTTATCTCTATGCCTATAGTCTACATTGACATTTCTTCTGTCTCATTTCAGTTGCTGGTATTTTGGATACATAAGCATTTAACAGTGGCTAATTAACTTTGGCCTGGTCAACATAAAAAGTTGCACCTGTCTGTCAAAGCAGTGGGTTTTTTTAAAACCAATTCAGTTAACCCAATAGAAACCCCTGTATCAACACTCTGTTTGGTTTAGAATAGCTTATATTAGTGTAGCTTGTATCAGTAATTCACTAATGGAAGTCAGTGGGCTTTGTGCCTTTATATTCCTTTGGCCCTTTTGCAAATCTCCCCCTATATGATTTAGTTTTACATTTAAAAATATTGGGCCTGAAATGCTGTAAATGAGCTTAGCTCCATTCATTGTACTTGCTACTCTAATTAATAAATATATAGTAATACATTCAATTAATAAATTTGAAAATACTTGCACAATAGGCATAATAGGTAAAATTTTGAAAAGTGCTTCAGTGGCTTAGGAGCCTAAGTCCCATTTTCAAAAGTGACTTAGGCACCATTATTAATAATCATAACAATACATTTCCCACCTTCAATCGACTCCCTCTAAAATGAGTTTGTTACTCCTTCCCTTTAAATATTTAAAAGGGGATGGGGACTAGCCTGTTTCCCCGAAAATAAGACAGTGTCTTATATTAATTTTTGCTCCCAAAGATGCGCTAGGTCTTATTTTCAGGGGAGGTCTTATTTTTCCTGGAGCTTCGGGGCCTTATATTCCGGGGTGGCCTTATTAGCGGGGAGGTCTTATTTTCGGGGGATGCCTTATATTACAGCGAGAGGCAAAACTGGAAGTAGGTCTTATTTTCGGGGGATGTCTTACTTTCGGGGAAACACGGTATTGAAAAGTGAAAAGTAGTTGGTCAACAATTATTAGCAATCCTTAGAAGCACCATTTTCTTACTTGATAAGAAATAAAATGAGACATTTATTTCCTGCAACCACAAAACCTGGGCCCTCATTTCACCACTGAAATTTATAAACGTTATCAAGATATTTTACTACTTAGGTAGTGTTTAATTATTTTGAAAACAAAATCTCATCTGGAATATTTTTTATTATTGGTGTAGCTGGTAGTGCTGCTTATGGTTAAACTTGCCTGACACTTCCCACTATAAGGCCCCGTCTCCAGTTGCTTATAACTTCACCAAACCTTAACTGTTCAGGTTGAAACTTTATATGCTGAGTTTTTGCCACAGGTCACATTTTGGTGGAAAGTTTCAACTTAAATGGTTTAGCTGTTTCTGTGAACAAGATTAAGGAAATATTTGGTGTTTTGCCGTATTAAAAATAATTCTTACAACCGTTTAGTTGAGAAAAATCCAGTTCCTCCATGTTTTGGGGCAGGGACTTGAAATTTGAAGGGGGTTCATACTGGTGTCAAAGATTAGTCATGGTATTAACTAAGAGACTTAGAAACAATAGTTCCACACCTTATATCTACTTCCCATCTGCGATTTGTCAAAAACAGATTTTGAAAATGTCTGAATACCTTGTACAACATTATCCACCTGGAGAGTAAACTAAAGTCCCCTGCAGCAGACAACTTGATAGATAGAAGCTGAAAAACCATTGGACTGAATAGAATGGGACCATTCCCTTCATACTTAAAACTTGTTTGTGCTTGGTACTCGATTTGCTAAACTGGCTCCTCCATTCTGCTGTATGTTTTCCCATCTGCAAGAAAACGTGTTCCAGGCCGTCTATCCAAATCCCATAAGGATGTTCTCTATCTTTCCCAACATTTGTAATTATTCTTGAACAATTAGTCTTAGCCATTCAAAAGTTGTAAGTTTACATCTAAATGAAATATACCTCAAGGCCATACTATATGCTAATTATATGCTGCTGAATCTTCCAGTAAAGTTTTATTTGCAGTTACAAAGTTGGGAGTCGGTTTTCAAAAAAGTTCTAAGGTATTTAAGGTAAAATTTTCAAAAAAGCCTACATGACTTAAAGACCACAAATACCATTGAATTTCAATGGGATTTATGCTCCTAAATGTATCAGGTGCTTTTGAAAACTTCCCACCGAATTGGGAGAAATCAGACATTCTTCCTTTGAATGTACAGTATATTGCAAATCTACTTTGTTCTATTGTATGCCCACAAAGTGGAGTCTTAAGGGAATAAAATGTTTAGAGTTAAAATATGTACCAGCTATTGACTCTACAGTTTCTATTAACCAGTCCAACCCAATGTTTAAATTAATCCAATATTGAATGATGGCACTCTTGAAGGCTAACATGGTAAGCATGTTTAGAATTAGGGTTGTCAAAAAATTTTCATAGAAATGTTTTTTTTTTTAAATTTTTCTGCCAAAAGTGTCAGCTTTCCATGGAAAATGTGTTTTTTTGTTATTGAAAATAAAAATATTAGAAAATCAAAAAAACTCAGCTCAGGTTAATGGGTCTACTTGTGCTTAAAGTTAAGTGTTTGCAAGATCAGTGCCTAAATATTTATTTTTTTAAGGGTGCATCCATAAGTGTGATGTTGGAAGAGTAAAGAAAATATCCCAAATTTATCCAAAATAGATCTCAATGCAGCAAGGTTCTTAAACTGCACCAGATGTATTCAGGATACACCTGGCTATCAAATTCTGTGTAGCTAAGTGTTGTTTTTGAAAAAAGTATCAGTCAACAATGGATGGTTGGACTGCCAAAGACAAATGTCAACCAGAGCCCAGTTTCAAAGACTTCTTGTTAAAAAGTTATAATGAGAAACCAAATGGAGACTACACAGACATTTCTAATGGTGTGAAAAGTAAAAGTGTGAAATATTACGCTAAGACCACTTTTGAGTAAAGCCGAAAAGTATGCACAATTCTGAGGCCATTTTATAACACAACCCTCTAAATATAATGGCATCATTAGGCACCACCACAGAGAGTAATATTCTTTCCATAGACGTTTTTAAACCATTCTGTAGAACTCTATAACAAGGATATTATTCACTAATAAAGTCTGTAGGATTGTTTAAAATTGTGGAAAAAAATTTTCACCCCTTAGCAGAGGACCCGTGCAAGTCCTGTGCACCGCTTAGGTGCTGTACTGTCTTCACAGGGGTGAATACATCACTGTTGAGGAAAGGTTCTATAAAATCTAGTAGACAATGGTATTTTGAGGGATTAAAAGGATCATGGATGGTGCCTTATGTCTTTCTCTGCTCCTCTGCACAAGAGTGAATTTCATGCATCAGGAATAAATCACTTCTAGTACAATCTAGTTTATCCACCCTATAATTTACTTTCAAAGCAGAGTACCATTCTTGAACATCCTATTTAATTAATTCACTGGCATAATAACATTTTTACGTCCTATTACAATTGTGAAAGCTTTTAAACTCCTGGACTCAAATTTATGTGCACTGGCACAAATCTAAAGCACACAAACAGTACAGGAGAGCAGAACATGATCCCTGAGTCCTCAATCTAATTTTAAAGAAAAATCTATTTCATTCCAGATAAGTTTTCTGTTGACTAAATTAGTTTTCTGCAAAAATATCTTTCATTCATGCACTGTAGTATCGAAAATTAAAAATCTGCTGTACATGGTGTACAAAGCTAAAAATACAGCTTGGGGTTCCAGTGATGACATGAGGAACTAGTGTCTCTGTTGTGGTTTATAATGATGTCACCAGAATCTCTTGATGTATTTATAGCCTTATAATTCAAAGTCTTTCTACTTCCTGGACTGTATTTTATATGTAATTCAGTTACCTTGCTATCAATCAGGAATTGTGTATGTAATCTTCTATAATCACTGCAGAGGTCTCTGGAAAACAAAATAGTTCAAAGCAACTTGTACTTCAAAGGATGTTGCACACATTTGTACTGTTTGGTTGTGCTTCTCAGAAATTTCCTTAGCATTTGGTTCCCTCTCCCTTTCCCTAGTTTGACTCCTGGAGAACGGCTCTGTGCATGCAGCTGCTGCACATTCAGCTAATAAGGAACAACAATATGCAGCTGTGCCCATATTTAATATTTATCATTCATTCTTGTGCCTTCTGAAAACTCTATTCTTGAATTTGATGCAAAAATCCTTCCTCACTGTGGCATGCCAGGGTACAATCCAGACTAATAAGTAGCTCTGTCACCCCCACCCTGTAACCTGGGGTGCCTTTTACAATGTCCTGCTGCTCACCAACAGCCTCCAGCATGTAAATTACTCCCAGCTCTGTCTGTGTGTGTGCTGCAGCCAGCTAGCCACAACTTGGCTCTTACCAGCCTTAAAAATTACCACAGAGTGACCCCAATACACTTCCACTCCTAGATTTCCCCCCAGAAACGTATGTCCTGTACTGCCAAACCCTCTCCTGGGCAGTACGAATACATTCAGTCTGTTACTCTTTTAAGGGAATAATATGCACACAACTTGTTATCCCAAATGCAGTTATCCAGACACTTCAACTTGAACACACCTGATTAGATAAAACAGGAAA